GTCTTCTTCTGTGGTGTCTGTAGAGTGTAACTGTAACCAGCACTCGGACTCATGTCACTTCGACATGGCCGTGTTCATGGCTTCAGGAAACATCAGTGGGGGAGTTTGTGATGACTGCCAGCACAACACGACCGGACACAACTGTGAACAGTGTAAACCATTTTATTTCCAGCACCCAGAGAGAGACATCAGAGACCCCAGCATCTGTCAGCGTGAGTCCTGATCCCTGGTCTGTGAGCAGAGTCCACACTGTCTGATGGTTTAGAAACTACACTGACCTGCGGAACTTCACTCTAAATCCACTTATATGACATGCACAGTTACTTGATTTCACCATTTGTTTTGGTCACATTTCATAGTGTCGTTACAGTAGAAGTTATTTTCCTTTTTCCAAAGAAATCCAGTAATTCTGTCCCGTAGACTTCAGAAATCTGTGGAAAAACATGCAACGTACCTGAGAGCTAGACTCTGAGGCAGCTTTGTGCGCAGCCCCGACACCGTCAGCAGCGTGGAGCACTGCAGCGTCATAGCTTGTTAAGTATGAAGGCGTGGCCTTGGAGCTGAGAGTCCCATATGTTGAGATACGTGTCAACATTTTGTTGGTTTGAGTCTAAACGCAAGATTTGATAAGAAGAATCTAGAAAAACACCAGACTGATCCTTTAAACTGTAAATTGAATTGATTAAATACAGTTTTGTTTGTCTTTGATCCAGAGAACACCAGGGCCCCGGCCCCGACACCTGAACACCTGCAGGTTTTAACACGTTATTGACTTAGACAAGTGAAAAATGTCTTTTAGTTGTTAACAAAAACAAAATAGTTTAAACTGTCTTCAGATCAGTGACCTGACTGTCAACAAACAGCTGAGTTTCAGTGAGATGTGAGATTTACAATTCACACAAACCACATCACGCATTTAGTGGCTGTTCTGGACCTTTGGGTCACGATTGCATGGTCTTCCTCAGGAGATGGAGTCACTCACTTTTTCACTCAGCCCACATGACAAATCGCACATTTCCCTCAGAGTGCTGTTACAATTTGCACAACATAAACCACCTTTATTATCAGACCCATGTAAACCCCTTAGTTTGTTATGCAGTCTTGTAGATCTGACTTTATTTAACCTGTAGTTGTTAACCTTCTTCCTGCAGCTGAATGAGGCCGTCTTTATTAACTCCCTTTGACCTGTTGTGTCTTCATAGCCTGTAACTGTGACCCTCTGGGCTCTCTGAACGGAGGAACATGTGACCGGATGACGGACGTTCGAGCCGGGCTGATCGCTGGTCAGTGTCGCTGTAAAATCAACGTGGAGGGAGAACGCTGCGAGCGCTGCAGGCAGGCTCATTACGGGCTGAGCGACGAGCCCGAAGGCTGCAAAGGTACGAAATCACATGCAGCACTAACATAATGGGATTCATAACACTTACAGCCAAGATACACACTGATGCATGGGCTGGGAGATGAGCACAAGGGTTGCAGGGGTACAAAATACACAAGCATATGCACGACCCAGATACAGTACATAGAGGTACACACACAGAGCGCTGGCCTGACAGCAAAGTCCTGCAGTGTGTTTATGTAAATACTGTTACTATAGTATATTATGATGCAGTAAATCACTGTTATTGTGTGTCATTTCTTATTGTTGTGTGTGTGTGATTACTGTGCTGTGTCAGCGTGCACCTGTAGTCCTGTGGGGACACTTCCTGGAAGAAATCCCTGCGACAGTGAAACAGGAAGTTGCTTCTGTAAACGTCTGGTGACCGGACGAGACTGTGACCAGTGTGTGGTAAGACAATGCATTTAATTACATTTACTGATGTTTCACAGTCTGGACAAAAAAACGAGGCCATCAGACCAGATGTTGGCCCAGGCCTCAGTGTGTAACTGGAACAGACAAACAGAATGACAGCAGCAGGAAGAAACACTGTGCACTGATGTGTTTATAAAAGCTACAGTGTGGTCACAGCTGGCAGTAAAAGGTGATAGTAGTTATAAATAATATGTGTGGTCATTGTCATTTGATCTGCACAGTCGCTTTAACTCTCCTGTGTTCCATATCCGTGTGACATGATGCTTACTAAATCTGATTAGTGCACTAGGATTAGGATTAGGACACTGCAAGCAGGTCAGTGAGGAGTGAGAGGACACTGCAAGCAGGTCAGTGAGGAGACTGAAACTGTGTGTGTGTGTGTTTCAGTCTGAACACTGGGGTCTCAGCAATGATATGGACGGCTGCAGACCATGTGACTGTGACCTTGGAGGAGCCATCAACAACCGGTCAGTCCTTTCTTTCTTTGGCCTCTTTTCTTTCTGCTGTTTGCTCTGTTGGAGTTTTTCTCTTCCTCTCTTTGTTGTGACAGTTTCCACTTCCTGTGCTCCTGCAGGTGTGACCAGGTGAGCGGTCAGTGTGTCTGCAGGGATCACATGTTCGGTCGACGCTGCGATCAGGTCGAGTCCGGTTTCTACTTCATCGCTCTGGATCACTACACATACGAGGCCGAGGATGCGAAGTTTGGCCCTGTGAGTCACTTTGCAGCCTTTGACCTCTGATCGCCTGGAAGATGTCACTCTGGACGTTTTCATCTGTGTTAATTAGTTCATCCTCAGCATCCTCACCTGTGAGCTGATGTCATTTCATCTGGTCTCTTTAGGGAGTGACAGTGGTCCCCAGGCCACACCCTCGTGACCGCACTCCCACCTGGACAGGTATCGGCCTGGTCAATGTCCCCGAGGGGGCCTTCCTAGAGTTTTCTGTGGACAACGTCCCTCACTCCATGGAGTATGACATCCTCATCCGCTATGAGCCTCAGGTACGGCAGAGTCCCCGTACTCTATGATTGATCCAAAGAAAACCAGCACGTGTGTTGTATTTAGATAAGATCTGCTCCCCCACGACATAATAACAAGACATACTAACGTGTTTCTGTTCAGTATATCGAACCTAACGTCCACAGAAACTGTAGACTGTAAGGTCTTCACTCAGTCCTCTTAGATACTGATACAACAATCTGATCAGAGGAGTCCAAGCTGAAGATACTGTCCACAGGTTCAAACACAGAAATCTTAGTGCTGACATTTTACCGACAGCTGTCAGAGTTTAGGAGAAATGAGCCTCATACTAAATTAAACTTAATAAGAAAATAATGTACATGAAATTAAGAAAGAAGAAGTAAATAAACTGATTAAAAAAATTATAAAAAGAAAAAATGAACCAAGAAAAGACCATAAATAAAAAGGGGCTGTGGGGTTACACCAGATGTTTGTTGCTCCTGCAGCTGCCTGACCAATGGGAAGAGGTCCTGATGACCGTGATGAGGCCTGGACCAATCACAGCAGACAGCCGCTGTGTTAACACCGTTCCCGATGACGACAACCAGATGATCTCACTTCACCCTGGCTCACGGTAACTGTCTGCAGCCAACCACGCTTCCTGGAGCACGTTTACTTCTTGTTAAATATCGATACCTGACGGCAGCATAACAAGTGACATGCATTGTACTTGTATCTGATAGATATTCTTCATCAGTACATTTGATCAGATTTCTTTCAGTGTTCTGACATTAAATCCTGATGAAACCTTTTTTCTGGTGTGTTCAGGTTCAGAAAGATGGAGGTTAAATATTGAACAAGTCAACCCAGACTTGAAGCATGAGACATGTTGAACCTCCGTCGTTCCTGAACTTGAACCAGAGTCTTTTAGTATTTCAGTCTAGAGTGATACTCTGTCTCCTCAGGTACGTGGTCCTTCCCAGACCAGTTTGCTTCGAATCTGGTTTGAACTACACAGTTCGCCTGAGTCTGCCGCTCTACTCTGCCGTCAGCGATGTCCAATCTCCGTACACGCTCATCGACTCGGTGAGGAAGCTCTGAAACTCTGTCGTGATCTTCAAACACTCTGGAAGTGATCAAAATGAAGTTGAGATCATTACCTCAGTAGAAGTATTCAGCCTGTCAGTGAGGGCGAACGGATTATTACGTTAACATAGAATCTGTATGCAGCTGATAGTCTTCACAAAGCAAGCCAAAGGAAGCACCAGGTTCAGCACAGAGTGCACTTCACTGGCTACAGACCCCAGAGCCAGACGCCATGAGAGATGTACTGCGTGTGCGCTGGATGGGGGTGATGATAATAATTTAAGTCTACTTCTGTACTACCTAGCTCTAACGTGTGAGCTCAGTGGCCTTCGAATGGCATCAGCAGGTAAACAACAGGGGTTTAAACGTCTAGACACTTGTTAAAGTCTAAGAACATCACCAGCTTCAGTCCTGCAGATTCATTAAGGATCAGCTGCTTTCTGTCAGTCTCCTGGTTTTCCTCATCCTTTCTGTCAGTGTCCTGGTTTTCCTCATCCTTCCTGTCGGTCTCATTGTGCTTCCTCTCAGATCGTACTGATGCCTCACTGTAAGAGCCTGGAAATCTTCTCAGCCTCAGAGGGAGGAGACTCCAGTGGGAACAGCGGCTGGGAAATGTTCCAGCGTTATCGTTGTCTGGAGAACAGCCAGAGTGTCGTCAAAACGCCGATGACAGACATCTGCAGAAACTTCATCTTCAGCATCTCCGCCATGTTGCACCAGGGAGCCAAAGGTACGCCAGTCCACCTTAAGCCTGATGACTCCGCCTTAATGATCTGATGCTGTCTGTTCATAGTTCACACCAGGAGAACTTTATTTTCAGATCTCTTGATCGATATGTGCACGCCACTGTCCACACTGAAGTGCTGAGCTCAGCACAGCACAGAGCGGGCAGTGACGACAATCACATTACGTTCAGAGACACCAGCCAGAGACCGGGACGTGACGATAATTATTTAAATGTGTGTCCTTATGTTGCCGCTTTGTCACGTGATGACAAGTTTAAATGCCTGGACAGGTTTGTTCAGCTTTAAAAACCTCAGCAGCTTCAGTCCTGCGTGTTGTAGTGACTTGGTCTTTATTTAACTGACACTGAGTGGGACAACATGTTTCTGTAAGGAGGAACATCAGGTTGAGTTTCATGTCACATGTTTTTAAACTGAACCACTAGGGTCCATACTCAGCAGTTTGCTGACAAAGAACAGCTGGAGGAGCAAACGTGAGAAAGTCAGAGTTGTAGAAGAGCGAGACGAAGTCCTTCCTGCAGGAGGTATGACAGATCTGTCTGCGTTCTGACCTCTGCTTTCTCTGGAATGGAAGCAGGAGGAAGTCCCCTCAGGGTCTAATGAAAACCTAGTTCTGACAGAGTATTTGTGCAGCACATTTCATACAAGAAGCAATTCAGAGTGCTTTACTTAATGGATTTTAAACAAGAAGGACAAACAGCATCAAACATTAAAGTAGAAATTAAAGAACAGAACCAGGAAATTGAAGGTTAAGAGCAGAAACAGAAGTACAGGACAGGAGACAGGGTTCCTGATGAGGATTTAAGGTTCAGGCTGAATTTAAAGCTGGTGTAATATCAGCACAGAAAGGCCTGATCAGTGGTGTCAGATGGAAACTGAACAAAATATCACAGACATTTTCAGAGTGTTGGCTGAGGAATACTGCAGGTCAGAGCTGCCCTCTGATTGGTTTAAAGAGGAGCTGCAGGTCAGGTTTGCTTGAAGCTGTTGGGTTTTTATCCTGGAGAGGGACAGCCATTGTTTCACTGCATTATCTTCTCTCAACATCTTTGTTTTTGGAATAACAAACAGTCGGGCTCTCTGCTCACTGACAGCTTTTCATTCCAACACTAACCTTTGGCTCCTCACATCATCTTCCTCCTCCTCCTCCTTTCCGCTGTCTCCTCTCTTCTGTGCAGCTGTTTCATTCCTCCTTTCTTTCCTGTTGTTATTTTTCATCTCTGACTGTCATCACCAGTTGGCCCTTCTCTCTTGTTTCTTTTCATCCTCCTCAACAAGACTCGACTGGTTTCTTGTTCCTCACGTTCTTCACACGGCCTCATAAACCTGTCATCATCACACTGAGACAGGATCACTGGGGAGTTTATTGTTTTCTGTGGATTGTTGAAGGCTGTTAGTTTTCTGACATGTCTCCTGGGTCGGACTTCTTTTCCCAGAATGCCAGTGTGACCCTCAGGGCTCCCTAAGCACTGTGTGTGACCCCAGCGGGGGCCAGTGTCAGTGTCGCCCCAATGTGGTTGGCAGGAACTGTGACCGATGTGCTCCAGCTACGTTCCAGTTTGGACCCAACGGCTGCAGAGGTCAGGGCCCAATCAATCTATAATCGATCAATACTGGCAGGTCTAATAATGACAAGCTGCAGAGGTAGAAACATGAATTTGTAGCATGTTGAATCTGATTTCTGAATTTTTCACAACTATTCATGTAAGTGTGTCTTTGCAGCCTGTGCATGCGACCCTCAGGGTTCGCAGAATCCATTTTGTGATCAGCTGACGGGGCAGTGCAATTGTGTTTCGGGAGCGTATGGTCGACAGTGTGACCGATGTCTGCCGGGTCACTGGGGTTTCCCTGCCTGTCGACCATGCTCCTGCAATGGACACGCCGACGATTGTGACCCCAGCAACGGGCGCTGCATCGCCTGCAGGGACCACAGCACCGGACACAGCTGTGACAGGTACAACAGTCAGTTCGTGCATCGTCACTGTCGCCACCAAACAACTGGTTGAACAAGAGTGAAACACAAGATACAAACCTCAGAAGGAGCCTGTTTAATCATGTGATCACACCTGCAGCAGGTCAGAGATCAGACACATCTTCTCACCTGTTTTTAGGTGTCTGGATGGTTACTATGGCAACCCACTGTTGGGATCAGGTGACCACTGTCGACCCTGCATGTGTCCCGATGGCCCCGGCAGTCTGCGGCAGTTCGCAGGAAGTTGCTACCGTGGCAATGACTCCCAGCAGGCCATCTGTGTCTGCAACAGCGGATACAAAGGTACAGACTGTTAACACAGTGGTTCGGCGTTAGTTTTAATGCACGTGACCATTAAACTCAGAATAATAAACAGCTTTAACGTCGGTTCAGCCCGAGGTCCTGGTTCTTGGTGAGAAGTTGTCTGAGTGAAATCAACTGTAGCATTTTGTAGTTTTACAGCAGCTGCTGGCCTCCGGAGATAAACAGGGGTTTAGTTTAAAGGGAGGAAGCGCTTTGACGTGATGTAAACCGAGCCGGAATGTGACGCGACTGCAGGTCTGTTATTAGGTTGTTGTTGTGAATTGGCGCTATACAAATACAAATGAGTGGAACTGAACTGAACAGCAGGTTTAAGTACTGTGAGATGCTTCAGACAAAGCCCAGAAGCTCCAAACAACCAGAACTTTTTACCTGAAGTAGCAACAGTCAACTCTCAGTACTAGCTTTCTGCTTTGTTTACAGTCCGATAGCTCCTTGCGCTTTCACTGTCACATTGTGTTAACAGTAGAACCGATGTCTAAAACAAATGTTGCCTGTTTTAGTAAAACACCAGTGAAAGTGAAGCGATCACTTGCCTACATGCACCAAAAACAGGAGATGAGACTGATTCTCACTTGTCCTCTCTAGGTAGCCGCTGTGACGAGTGCTCACCTGGTTACTATGGAAACCCTGGGGAGGCAGGGGGGCAGTGTCAGCCCTGTCAGTGCAACAACAACATTGACATGTTTGACCCGGAGTCCTGCGACGCCCGAACCGGCGAGTGTATGCGCTGCCTGCACCACAGCGAGGGCGCCGCCTGCCAGAGCTGCAAACTGGGTTACTATGGCAATGCCCTGCTGCAGGACTGCAGGAGTGAGTATGCTGGCTTTACTGGGTTACTATGCCAACCACTGGCTGTAATCCAAGTACCTGTTGGTGTCAACTAAATTTTGATAAAGTCTGTTAAACTAACAAAGTCTTGGTGAATCCTGATGAAGGCTGGTTGTCGTCCACAGAGTGTGTGTGTAACCAGCTGGGCAGTGACCCCTCCAGCTGTCCATCATCCGGCAACTGTCACTGCGACCGCAGCAGCGGTCAGTGTCACTGCCTCCCAAACGTGATGGGTCAACACTGTGACCGCTGTGCGCCCGACACCTGGAACATGGCGAGCAAGCGCGGCTGTCAGACCTGCGACTGCAACCCCAAACACTCGTACGGGACGTCCTGCAACGAGGTGAGCAGGAAAAACTGTACGTTATTATGATGAGTTGTACAAAAGTCAGAGGAAAACCGTGCAGAGTTGAATTAAACATATAAAACACTCGACACATCGTTTGGTTGTGGTTCCACAATGTCGAACCTCAGTATTTTTCTGTTGGACTGTAAACAGTTTGTTTCGTTGTCAGGTCAGTGGCCAGTGTTCCTGTCAGCCAGGCTTTGGAGGAAGAACGTGCAGCGAGTGTAAAGAGCTGTTCTATGGAGACCCAGAGGTCAAATGTCATGGTAGGGTCGTTGATTCATTCTGGAGGAAAAACTTTAATTTCAGTAAGGTTTGGTGGAAATCACTGGCAAAGATTAATTTCACATTTCTACTTGTGAGTGTGGACGTGAAGAACTTGACACACTGCTGAGTCCAGATCTGACTCCACAGTCCACGTGTGAGTCCTCAGTCCAGACTCCAGGTCCAAGTTCAGTATTCCTTCTTTCTTCTTTGACTCGTTTTAGACAGAGAGAGTAAAAACCAGAGTTGTGGGAACCCTGCTCCTCCCAGCATGCTCAGCTACACTCTGCTGTGACTCAAATTAAGTTCAGATGTTCAACGAAGCCCGCTGGCCCTGTCACCACGGAAACAAGACTGGAAATCTGTCTGGACCTCTGAATATCTCTAAAATCCACAAAGAGGCTTTGTTAATGTGAAACAGGAATGGAGGCCTGTCTGGGGGAGGGGAACAGATGATACTGGCTGAGAGGGGGAAGGAAGGGAGGAAAGACAGGTCTAGGAGACGAAGTAAAGCAACCCTTAAAGATGCTACGGATAGTAGCTCTGAGACCAGGGCCGGGCTCTTTCTTTGGTTGTTGTTCCAAACGGCAGACTAAACTGTCTGTGGTCAGCGTCAGTGGCTTTGTTGTTTTAGCTCAAATATGTGAACGTCTGCTGCTCTCAGCATCCAGAAACGCTGCAGATCTGATTCTGCTCCTCACAACACCAGCACTTCAGCTTTAATGATTCCATGAGCACTGCTCCAACACCACCGTCAGGACAGACTTCATACATTCATCTCACCTGTCTGTCTGTTCTGGGTGGATAAAGGAGAATCCTGATCTGGTCCCAGTTTGTTGTTTCCTCAGCTGCAAGAAGTCTCAGCTGTGTTTAATACAAACCACATGTCAAACACACATTAACCTGCACGCGAGTTGTCTCCTCAGCATTTTGTGTAACAAAAGGTTGGGACAGTTTGTCTCTGTCTCTTCCTGTGAAATGTTTTTACTGTAAATAAGATGTTTGACCTCCTGGAGACTTGCTTTTCTTCCTCTCACTGAAACATAAACCTCATCCACACATGCCTGAGCTTAAGACTTTGTATATGTGTGGAGAGGTTTGTGTGTGTGTGTGTGTGTGTGTGTACAGTTTATACTGTGTATGTGTGAAACCTCTAATTAAAGTCAGTCAACAGATGTTTAGCCACGTTCACACAATTGTGCCACTCAGTTTGATCTGCAGTGAAAATGACAACATCACCACAAATAGTGAGGAGGCAGGAGACGAGACTACAAATTCTCCACAAACACACTTCAGAGTTTTTAGATCATACAGTTTAAATGACATGCTGTGTAAATCTGTAGAGCAGTACTGAGACCAGCAGTGTGGCTGCTCACGGTCAGTGTGACTCATTAGGAGTCAGTAAAAACATTTAATGGTCTACCAACAGACACACAGAAAAGACAGAAACATAAACTTGATTTTTGTTGCAAAAACAAGTCGGGAACAACAACAAGGACAAAAACACGGAGCTGCTCTTAACATCAGCCAACATCTGGGGCAGCAGAACCAGTCAGAACCAGCCAAACACATCTGGCCCTCATGCAGTTCAGCTGTCTGTGTGAGGTTGTCTTTGATGACTGTGAGACTTCTGCCTTCAGATGTCTGGTTGTGTGTTAACCCCACGCTGAACGTGGTGTCTTACTGTCAGACCACAGGCCTGAAGTATTCAGGTCCTGCAGAGTGTAGAGTTCTGCTTCTGAAACAGGTAGTAAATGACGTCCCGTGACGTTAAAAACTATTACATTCAACTCACTGAACCTGCAGAAGCTGTGTCTGCCCACACTAGAGTTCATTCATTAAAGCCAGTGGAGTCAGCAAGTCACTGAACTGAGCTGTTGGAGATGAAAGTGTGAGGATCAGGCAACACCACTGTGATCAGTAAACATCTGTGCGTGCTGTCCACTGCTGGCTAAGAACCCGTAAAGCTCTCGATGTTAAACATAAACCTGACGAACCCTCTGGTCTCTCCTCAGCATGCGACTGCGACCCTCGTGGTGTTTCTCAGTTGCAGTGTAACAAAGTCAGCGGTCACTGCGTCTGTGTGGAAGGTGTGTCTGGGCCACGCTGTGATGTCTGCGCCCGTGGATTCTCAGGGACCTTCCCCGACTGCCACCGCTGTCACCAGTGCTTCGCTGAGTGGGACAACGTCATCGGTCAGCTGACCAATCAGACGCACCGCCTTGCCAACAAGGTCAACGCCATCAAAGCCAGTGGAGTCAGCGGACCATACAAGAAGTCCATTGACAGCATGGAGAGGAGCGCTGCAGAGATCCGGGTCCTCCTGGACCAGAATCCAGCCTCACAACCACTGACCGATATCCAGCACCTCCTGCAACAGGCCAGGTGAGGCCAAGTTTGATCAGAGAATAAAGCAGCTCAGATTAAAGCAAGCAATGACCTCTGTTTGTCTCTCAGTGACCTGATGGGGACCCTAAACCAGATGTTGAACCTCACAGAACAGACTCTGGTCCAGGTGGAGGACCAGCACTCTGCTGCAGAAACTAAACTGGACTCTGTGACCTCGGATGCTCAGAAACTGGAGCGGACGGTTCAGGAGCTGCTGGATCAGGTCGAGTTCATGAAGAACTCTGACATCAGAGGTAAAGCGAGTTAGAGGTCAGCGTGGGGGGGTTATAAATGCTAATGTTTGACTTTTGTCATCACCATATTAAGATAATGACACCTTTTAAATGATAAATTAGGGTTAGATTATCGTGAACCACCACTTCCATGTTTGGTTTTCAGATACTATTACACTCTTAGATACTACTACTACTAGACACTGCCTTTACTTTGTCAGACAGTGTCGGAGCTCTTGGAGCCATAATAATATTTAAGACAGAAGCTGGTATTCATGGTAATACTAACATGACTTGAATGCAGCATTAGACAGGCTGGACCAGTGCCACCAACTGCTACGGAGCCCCAGATCCTCGGGGGCCCCAGAGGCCTCAGCTTCACTACAGTGAACATGCTTTATGGTTATGGGCAGAGGACTGACCTCTGCAGTATGAATGAGCTGTTAAACTAAATGATTTGTTACAGTTTGGTCTGAAGAGCAGGTTCAGGTTCCCAGGATCAGCTTTATCAAAGTCAGGCTTTATAACATGAATGAAACCGAACCCGAGTCCCTTTCCAGCAAGAATCCACTGGACACATGGGTATTTTTAATATAATTAATATATAAACATTAAACTCTGCTTTGAAGGTCTCCAGGAGACTTTAAATAAAGTTTTCTTCAGTGTGTCTCTCTCAGCTGATTTCTACTTCCTGTCTATTGCCAGGGGCAACAGACAGCATCACAAAGTACTTCCTGCAGTCTCAAGCAGCTGAGGCTCAAGCAAACGCCTCCACCTTCGATGCCGGCAGCCCAGTGGAAACCTCCGCCACTCTACGGCGACTCACAGAGGACAGACTGAACCAAACCAGAGAGGAGTTCCTGAGGAGACAGACCGAGCATGCTCAGAACCTGGATGACCTGGCAGGGGAGCTGCAGAATCTGGACCTCTCGGAGATCAGCCACAAGGTGAGAGAGCTGCATCTGAGCGTAACAACAAACAACACGTTTAATTGATTGTTGTGGTGGAAAGAAGTAAACAGAACCTCTGCACCAGACATCGAGAATGAGACTTCAGATGTTGTCAAATGTTAATTCACTGTTTATTTGATTGACCTAAAAATTCAAAAAGCTAAAAGTAACTGTGGCACATGTAAAAGTTTGGGCACCCTACTACATGTAAAACACTCGTTAACTCATGAAGACACGTAACTGGCAGCTGAAGAACTGTCGTCAGGACGTTTTTTGATTCTCTGGACACTGCAACCACAGATCATTCAGTGAGAAACCGTCAAAGTGTCTCTTCATTAACGTCTGTCCTGGCTCTTGCAGATCTGTGGCAGTCCCTCACCAGGCCAGGACTCATGCTTGTCCTCTTCCTGTGGAGGTCTGGGCTGTGTGGACTCTGAGGGTCAAACCAGGTGTGGAGGTGAGGGCTGCGACGGCGTGGTGACAAAGGCCGACAGCGTCTGGAGGAAAGCTCAAGAGTCTGAACAGGAAATCATCGGCGCCATGGAGGAAGTGGAGAAACTGTCCAAGATGGTGAGTCTGAGCAGTCACGGTTCTGGTTTGTGGTGGCTCTGTCGGGGATGTTCTCACCTGTGTTCTGTCTCCAGGTGTCAGAGGCCAAGCTGAAGGCAGACGAGGCCAAGCTGAGCGCTCAGGACGTCCTGATGAAGGCCAACAGAACCAAGCAGAGAGTGGACCAGAGCAACGAGGAGCTGAGACACCTCATCAGACAGATCAGGGACTTCCTCACACGTATGTTCACTTTCTGTGTAACAGAGTCGGGTGGCTCAGGTGTTCAGACCCACGTGACCTCCTGTTGTTGGTCCAACAGCTACCAGAGCATGTGAGTGAAGTGGAGCTGTGAGAATTCCTGCTCCTGGCTCACAGAGCTGCTCACCTCAGATTGCATCCCGCTCCACTCACATCACACCCACCTGCTCCGAAAAGGAAAAAATCTGCATGTACTTCACTTAAACCATGGCCTTACATCCCACAGAACTAAAGAACAACGATACCTTTTCCTAATAGAAATTATTTATATCAAATTGCAGTTAAGCCTGTGTAACAAGGAATATAAGCCAGAATTATATGGAACATTCAACAAATCCATGGGCCAGTACACCTGTCTGACCTTTCACTTGCCTCTTTAAAGTACTTTAATTTGCTATGAAGTTTCTGAAATATCAGCTCCAGCGATGTAGAACGGTTATGGGCAGAGGACTGACCTCTGCAGTATTTACCTCTGCAGCCACACAGAAGCTCCTTTCAGATGGTTAATGAAGCCAATATAAAACAGCAGAAAGACCTTAAAACATGTTCAGCCACCGTGAGTTGCTAAAGGATCACTAAGAGAGAAGCACGTGTGGACGAGGAATAAACCGGCTATTTGTGTGGTTTCAGAGGATGCTGCAGACCTGGAGAGCATCGAGCTGGTGGCTAACGAGGTCCTGGCCATGCAGATGCCGACCACACCAGCTCAGCTGCAAAACCTGACCGGCGAGATCCGGCAGAAGGTGGGAGAACTAGGGCATGTGGAGACCATCCTGCAGCAGAGCGCCAACAACATCCAGAGGGCCGAGAACCTGCTGGACCAGGCCCGCAGAGCCAGGCGAGTCCAGCTAGTGCTGCTCCACCTGTACAGAGCCAGTTATTTCTGCTGCAGTCACGTTTGCTGAATGACCCTCCCAAATAAGATCCAATACAAAGATCTGTTTTTAAAAGGCTCTGCTCAGCACAGTGACCCTCACTGAGTCAGATCCTCAAACCTCCAGCAGATCTGTCAGACAGTCCTTGTATGTTTCTTAACAAGTGCTCAGTTCTCTAAAGGCTTGTCACTAGACTGATAAATCTCCCTCCCTGTGTTGCTCAGTGAGGAGGCAGCCGATGTGAAGGACTCTGCAGAGAAGGTGAAGCGAGCTCTGGAAGAAGCCCAGAGAGCTCAGACGGCCGCCAGCAGCGCCATCCAGCAGGCTGCCGCCAACATCCAGAGCACCAGCGCCCTGCTGACCTCCGTCAGTAACGACTCATTGACCGTAGCGATCACTGACTGAATAACGTGAAGGTAACGCCTGGTCTGTCTGTGTTGCCTTCAGGTGGAGTCGGAGACAGCAGATGCGGAGCTTAAGCTGAGCAACACCTCCCAGAGGCTGCAGAGGCTCGAGCAGGGCGTAACACTGCTGAAGGTCAAAGCTCTGAACGTCACGCTGAGCACTGAACAGACCAATCAGGACGTGGCGAGCATCAGGAGGATCACTGAGGAGGTGAAGAAGGTGAGTTCAGGTTGTTCTACTTTTCCTTCAGTTACGTTTCTTTTGACAAATTTCTGCTCACCCTTAGAACCAGCTCATGTCAGTGTCTGTTTGTGATTTTGTGTGTGCATTCAGGACCTAGACTCGGACCTGAAGGATAAGTACGCCACAGCGGAGCGGCTGATTGGTCAGAAGGCAGGGGGGGTGGCCGATGCCAAGAAGAGGGCAGAGTCATTGCAGCAGGAGGCTAAAGAGCTTCTGCTGCAGGCCAGTGACAAGCTGCAGCTACTCAAAGGTGACTCCTCCACCCTCAGTGTCCTGCTGGAAAAGAAAAACATCATGTTAGCAGAGTGGCGCTTTGTGAGACTGCCGTTAGACTGGTGACTGGTTATGTCTGAGAATTATAGCACCAGTTCCAGTCATGCTCTGACTGGTGATCGACAAGAATCAGTTCTGGTTGACACGCCTAGTCGACCATCATCGAGAAGTGGCTGAAGAGATGTGTCAGTAGTGATGCAGCACTCGGAGTTTGAATTGTTCTGTTTCTCTGTGGGGTGTTTTCCAGATCTGGAGAAGTCGTATGAGGAGAACCAGCGGACTCTGGAGCGGAAGGCGGAGCAGCTGGTGGAGCTGGAGGCTGAGGTGAAGGAGCTGCTGCAGGAGATCAGCCACAAGGTCACCGTCTACAGCACGTGTCTGTTCTAGGTTCACAGGTCACATTCACTTTAAACTGAATCTGTGATGTCAAATCTGACTCGCTGACTTTGTCTCAGCAGCCAATCAGAAGCCAGAGCAGTTTCCTTTGTGTCGTGAAACAATCAGAGAAGAAAAAGAACAAAAGCTAATGGTTTTCATCCCAAAATAAGATTCTTTTAATGAAGCCAAAGACTTTTTCTTTTTAGATGTAACCATCTTCAGCTAATTTCCAAACTGTACACAAAGAGCTGCAGTTTGAGGAAATGAACAAATGAATAAAACAGTTTGATCCTATAAGAGTTGAGAAATGTGTTCTCTCAAAATAAGTTGGAAGCAGCTGATTAATGAATTCAATTGTCTTGCTTATCAAATGATAACTTGAAGAGGACATTTGTTAAACATTAAAATTCAGCTGCTTTAAACATTTAAAATTTTGAGTAGAATGTCGTGAATGTAATAAAATCAAAGCAACCAATTGTTGATGATTTGATTCTAGTTTAATCAGATGTTTAATGTAGTTACAAAGTGAATGTTTGAACCGTGTGACTGCAACAGCTTTATTTTTTTATGTGTGGTCAAAACTTTGAGCCCCAAATGATTTTTAATAAAAACTTTCATTTAAAAATCGCACAGTTTGCTGCCTTTGACAGTCCACGACCCTGAGTACAACCCTGTATTACATCATTTAAAATTGTATTATTTTTATGTTAGAGTGTATGGTTTGTAAAGTCATGTATAATCAGGTTAGACTACAGTGAAAACAGTACAACCTCTGTAGAACAAAAGCCAGTTTGCCTGTTACCGCTGCAGTAACAGTGACTGCACCTGTGACAAGCACCACAACCGTCTCAGGTTTGGTCTGGGTTGTTCCTGATGTGACACATGGTGATGAGAACTTTGCCAAGAAACCTGATTAATGATGTGAAGTAGCAGGACATGGAAATGGAAAAATCCATCCATCCATTATCTATTCCTGAACATGGTTGGGGGAGGGGGCTGGAGCCAATCCCAGCTGACACTGGCTGAGAGGTGGGGTCCACCCTGGACAGGTCACCCCTCTGTCACAGGGCTGACATGTAGACAAACATCCACGCACACCCACCCTCAGTCCTACGGGCGATTGAGTATCTCCAGTCAACCTAAGCTGCATGTCTTTGTTCTGTGGGAGGAAGCCGGAGAGAACGCACACAGGCACAGGGAGAACATGCAGACTGCACAGGAAGGGCCTGGGTCGGCCCGGGCTCTTGTTGTGAGGCGGCAGCGCTAACCACTGCATCATTGTGCTGCCCTATGGGAAATATAAATGCCACAAAATTTAACTTACACTACAGAACAGCGTTTTTCCTCAGTAGTACTACTACTTGATGCTGCTTCTCCATCATCGGCCTGACAGACACTACCCTGGCCTTTCATGGTCGGACTTTGCCCCCCGGTGGACAGACAGCTACTTCTGTCTATCAGCACTGACTCCATCTGTGACCGCAGCCCAGTTTTCCCACTGACAGAGTTTCGGTTCCAGTTAATCATCTCTGATCTGTCCACACAGACACACACGTTCTACCTACACCTTTCAGTTAGAGCAGGAGTCTGTTTTTCCAGCCATGTTGTGTAGGTGTCCCTGTTTGTTTCTTGTTGTTGTGTTGTGGGTTCCGGTCTGTGGCGGGCTCATGACGAACCCCCACCCCAGCATATCAGACCAGGAGCTGTTCTGGGGCGCCGACCAGTACGACTTCTCCGTGGTGCTTCCTGCCTTCGGCCTGGAGTGTTTCTGGCACTTTGCTCACCGCGGAGAGAGGTTCTACCTGAACTTCATGGTAACACAACACACAGAGGCGTCAGCAACCAGATTTGTTATGTTTTCTTTTTAAAGACTCTGAAAATGTGGTTTCAAACCTAAGTTACTGTTGGTGTTCTTGCAGACGTATTAAAAACAAACATTTTTCATTTATAGAAGAATTCAACATACTTCAGCTTCTTATTCAGAATAGTTTCTAATATTTTTTAAACAGGTTTTCACTTTTCCCCCTGAGTTAGCAATGCCTGTTTTATCCATCTAAAACTAAACTTACAACAAAGTGTACAAAAAGAAAGGGTCTGAACACTGTCAGAGACCAGTGTAGTTCACTGGTGTAGTATTTTATACTGGTACATGGTAGGAAATATCCACATGGCAAGGAAAGTCTGCAGGTCCAGTGGACGTCAACAGGTTCTCCATACCTCTGCAAAGAAGAGTACGTTGTGGACCTGTGTGTCTACGGTCAGATATTTTTTAAATCTCTTACTAAATTAGCTTGTGGGTGGAAGAAGTCTTAGGGACCTATTTTCCTGAACATGCAAACTGCATGCCAGCGTTGGAGACCTCAAATGCCACATTAGTCCTGAGAAGGGCGCTAGAGGGAAGGTCAGGGGGTCATCAGAAAGGAAGCAGTTGGTGAGATTGGACGCATGAGTTGACCCAAACATTTTTCTTAAATATGAAGATATGTTGTGAACAAAGTTTCATCATGAAGACAAAGTTGTCCAAAGAGCGTGAATGTGCTCGCCACGTGTCATGGCGAATTATAGTTTAGATTTTTGTCAAACTATTGGGAACGTTGGCCTGATGTTGGTTTTGGACGGGTGTCACCCTGGGGAATGTGAATATTTACAGAAATCATGTGTGGACCAAAGAATCAGATGTTCTACTGCGACAGATCACCTGGTGTGTGTGTGTGTGTGTCTTGTTAACATCCGACACTGATTGGACTAGTTATAGTTCTGATCTGGATTCATACTGTAGTAATACGACTATATGGAATTGTGCCTGACTTGTTGCCCGTTTGCCTACCTGCCCTCCTGTCTGCAGGTGCAGTGGGTGGCCGGACTCGGCCATGACAGACACCTGTCGGTCACCGTCAACGCCCCCAGCGGTCTCTTGGTGTCGGCTGTTGATGATGCGAAGGGTCAGGTCGACTTTGAGGCTGAGGAAACAGGTAGCTGTCCGACTAGTTTTCTAGTTGTTGTGACCTGAACTACACAATTTAACTGCCTGCGTTCAGCAGCGTCAGAACACTGCTACAACTACACACACACTGCTGAAACACTACGGCCAGGAAATTCTTAAAAACAAAAGTTAATTTGAGAGGCATTAAACAAATATTTACCACACAAAGGGCACAACTGGACTCACTGATGGTATAAAAGGGCCCTGCGTTAATTCTTTGGATGTTTCTGTAAATAGCCAAACATAACATGGATGTGTGTCTGTCCAGGTTTCTATCAGATGTGTTTCAGCAACTTCCACAACCACTTCGGCACCATGCAGGTCTTCCTCAGCTTCGGCGTTTACTACAGTGATGAAGATCGTGACAAGAGCAGAGAGGAAGAGAAGAGGAAGAAAGAGGAAGTTAGGAGAGACCTGAACAACACGCTGAGCGTCATAGAGGTACACACACACACACACACACTGTTAGAGTTTGCTGTATAATGAACATAACGCAATAATAACACAATCAACAGTAATGTTTGTAGTACTTGTACGTGGATGTGTGTACTGTTGCAGGATGCCACCCACAAAGTGCAGAGCTACGTTTTCCACATGTTCCGCTACTACAGCTCCGGCCGCATGAGGAAGAGCGCCGACTACTTCCTGCTGCTGTCCAACTCGCAGTACATCAGCTGGTGGTCGACAGCCCTCAGCCTCCTCATTGTCACCTCCGGGTATCTGCAGCTCCTTTTCCTCAAACGGCTCTTCATCAGTAAGACAGGCACTGAGCAAGAGAAGCCCCGCTGCTGACGGACTCGCACGGTGTGGCTTTAGCCAGAGAGAGAAGCCAGTACCACAAAACACACCTGTGTGTGTGTGTGTGTGTGTGTGTGTGTGTGTGAGAGAGAGAGAGGAGTCTAGAGTCACGGACGCCGCCGAGAGGCTGCGTTGGCCGGGTGTCTTTCTGGTATTCTGTTCTTGTATTTCTTTAAACAGTATAAATAAAAGTTACACGGTCATGTCAACAGTTTGTGATAACCGACAGGTGTAGTCAGATGTGAGTTCTGCCTTGTTCACTTCAGCCCACAAGGAGGAATGTCTACAATTCACAGCAGGAAGCATGACCTGTGCTGAACCAGTGTCCTGTAGCTGAATCCTAATGTCAGTCACAGACGTTGTCATGAACTTTGCCACCCCCTGTTGTTAGATCCAGCCCGTCTTATTAAATAATGTCTGATTTGAAAAAACTTCAGAATTGTTGCAAAAGAAGTTCTTTCTTCTGTCATCTGACTAATTGTTGACAGAACTAAAGTGTTTCAGCTCCAGGGCGCTGTTGTCATCTCAGTGTTTGTCTCCACCCATTGTTGCCCCTTTGGCATTAGACCCAGATTTGTTCTGGTCTTCAGGCTCTTGCCACCTGCTCCGCCCAGCTCCGCCCACACTCACCTGTTTTCTGACCACCATGTATTTAAGTCAGCGACCAGCGTTTACTCATTGACGTCTCAGCTTTAATCTGAGAGGGTTTACATAAGTTCAGAAGGAACACAATTAGTGCAAAGGCTGAAAAGTAAATGGACAAAAGTGTCATAGGCAGCTGTGTTTCGTTCATGCACCACCACAGGGTACAGTCTATAAAGGAACAGTTTGACATTTTAGATAATACACCTGGGTACTTTTATGCAGAGAGTCAGTGAACCTGCATGTTGTTTTTGCACAAACTAAACAAAGGAGATATCAAACATTAATCAGTGAGCTTAGGTAGATGCATTTTGTTCCTAGCTGTTTTCAGCCTTTTTGCTGGCCTGTGGTGACCACCTCGTATTTACCGTGGTATCAGTCTGAACATGTGATGCTCCATCAAAGCAAATCAGTGTGAATCTTCCTGAGCTACTGGAAGGTTCATGTTTTAGGAAAAAGCACTAAATGAGTTTCCTGAAATTTGTTAAAGCTTTATTCATGGCTGTCTGGTCTTTGCTTTCCACAAATTCAAGGAATAATTTTGATGGAATTAGTGATATGTTATCAAGCATACAGCATTGTGACTGAGTTTGTAGACGTGGTTAATAATTCTCCACCTGCTGGTATCTGAGGACCGGGAGGAGAAAGCAGCAGCTCCTTCATGTCCTCAGTCAGAGCAGCCATGCTGGTCCACACTCTGCTCGTGGTGCTGAGCTCTCTGTGCGTCTGGGCCAGGAAGTCTGAGCCACCTCTCAGCGAGGGGGGTGCCGGCTTGTTCAGGGGCGCAGACAAATACGACTTTGCCATCGAGGTTCCTGCTGCAGGGACGGAGTGTTTCTGGCACTTTGCCCACCAGAGTGGAAGCTTCTACCTGACGTACATGGTGAGTTCTCACTGGGAACCTGCAGATTGAAGATCTGTGTCATATGCACAGTAAAAACTGTATTGTTATAGTGTACACTGAACTCCTTAGTGTGCCAGTCTCCCTTCAACCAAAATAAAATCAGCAATGCTATGCTATAAATAAACAAAATCAATGTCACTTGTATAAATGTACATTAATATTGTGCAGAGTCCTCAAGTTCATATTTAACAGTCAGTGTGATGAAAATGGGCAGCGTTTAAGGTTATTCAACATTCTAATGGCGTGTGGATAAAACCTGGAGGGTCTCGGGTCGGGTTTCATCTTGTCTGCACAGATACACAATGCTGTGATTTGAGGTGCTGTCATGAAATGAAAGCACTGCAGCATCTGTGCCTTTTGTCCTCAGGCTTATCAGACTGACCGTCAAGGTGATCCAGTCTGACCTCTGCCAGCCTGAGACATGGGCATTAGTGTTATCAAGAGATTTTCCATACACCACAGTGCCTACAGTACAAAATGCCTTTCTTGGTATGTGGATATCTGTACTGCTTTGTGTTTGCACTTTCTGGAAGCTTCCACACTTGGAGAAGGTGCTGGCATTTGTAGCTTTAATAACTGGCCTGATTCTGTTGTCACCATGAAAAGAATCTAACTGTCTTACTCCGTCTCTCAACACTTTACTTCCTGGTATGAGAACTCAATTGCAATTGTAACTTTGAGGACCAAAACTTTATTTAATTTTATTTGTTATTAGTAGTAGTAGTAGCATAATATAATTCAATTCAACTTAACCAGGCATCCTGAGTTTTCAAGGATTCATCATTGATGGTTGTGTACTGGATGCAGTGCACATGTGTATGACTGTTATGCAGCTACTGCCACCTGGTGGTGTTTGTGAGCAGGACGAGCAGGTAAAAAAGCAGAAGCATTGGAAGGGTAGTGTGCCTCTGCTCTGCTGCAGTGGGACTTTATGTTGCTTCAGGTGTAGAGATGGAGCGTGCTGGTGGACTGTGAACACTGGTTTGTGCTGTTTGGCAGTGCTGAGATAAAGGACAGTGCCTGGGGAACAACGTTCCAGTGTCCACCTGAGGCTGTGTCTGCAACCACTCCATGGTTTCCACTGTTTTTATTGAAGATAAAGGGGGGAAACTGCATTTTTGGGGAGTATTTTCAGTGAGTATGTGTGGCAGCAGGTCGGTGTGAATGGGACCGAGTCATAATAGACCGTGGTGATGAAGGTACATGTCGGGCAGTGCAGCAGGGTGGTCACTGCTGGACTGAATGGACACGGGGGGGCTCTGTGGCCCAGGGGGAGGAGAAATACCAGGCTGGGACATGGACACAGGACCTTTAGAGGGAGATGTTCACTGCTGGCTTTGCTCTTTCTGTCAGTAAGTAATGTGGATTTGTCTCAGCAGACACATTCTGCTGGTTTAATTAATATGAAAGTATTTGTGATGTGTGTATGATGGCAGGTACAGTGGACAACAGGGATGGCCAATGACCACCGGCTGTTTGTGACGATCAGCTCGCCACAGGGCGTCCTCGAAGCTTCAAAGAACGCAGCCGTGGGTCAAATGAACTTCCAGACGCAGGTGACAGGTGGGACCATCAGAAGCACTTCAGTCTCCACTGTCCTTTACATATTTTTCTCTGAGGTAACTGCAGTTTCCTCCTGCCAGGTTTTTATCGAATATGCCTCGGGAACCACAACAACCAGTTTGGTGGCATACGGGTCTTTCTGAACTTTGGCGTAGTCTACGAAGGTATCGAGGAGTCAAAGAGTGGGAGGGAGGAGGGCGAGAAGGCCCTCCACAGCACTCTGAGCAGTATTGAGGTATTTGGCCATGGACATGGGAAGTGGGGGTGCTGAGGGGGCCGTGTTGTGATTCATTTAAGATTAACAGACAACTGACTGGATCCTAGAGCAGCTGCCATCTTCACTGCTGGTCACTGAGAACAGAGTTACAGCAGTGTGCGCTGGCAGTTTATAAGAGATGATTCCTGTGTGTATGTACTTTCTGAGCCTCACTACCAGACTAAAGAGCGAGTGGCCATATTTACTGGGCCTGAGCCTTGTATGTATTTACATTTTTACCTTCAGTAGACTTATGAAAAATCATGTCAGTTTTACAGGGGTAAACTTTTTTTTTGAGGGCCAGACTTAGCCCCAAGGTGGCTATTTGCCTCCCACAGATGTACAGTCTGTAAAGCCTTTCCCAGTGCAGCACCAAGAGTTTCCCAGCAGGTGTCAACATGTTTACTGTCTCCAGTGCTTTGGAGTCATTGTCAGCACAGTCGCCCCACAAAGATTAGTGATCACTGGTAACAAAACAACCTGGCAGCAGTAGCTGGACATTTACTGAAAGACTCTTTGTTCAACATGTTTGCACACAGGGGCTTCATCAGGGGGTGTTACATGTGTACACTATACTGTAAGTGATATTAAACTAGTACTGTAAGCCATGTGTGTTTTAGGAGAGTGTGCAGAAGCTGCAGAACCAGATCTTCCATATGTGGCGTCATTACAACTTTGCCCGCATGAGGAAAGGGAAGGATCACTACCTCCTCCTGTCCAACCTCAACTACATCACCTGGTGGTCGGCGACCCAAAGCCTCGTCATCCTCCTGTCGGGGTATCTGCAGCTCGTCCTCCTTAAAAGACTCTTCCACACAGACCCCAGCAGGCCCAGATGCTGAGAGCAGGACATCCACGTGTCTGGAGTGCTGCTTTAAACCCCACACCATCTGTTTTCTCTTATCAGATGATTATTGATACACTGATACAAACAATAAAGATCTTGTACGCTATCTGAAGCCAGCAACTAAAGCAGATGTGTTACAGACATCTACAGGTCTTTAATAATGTAGTCTGCACTGTGGCTGTTTTGGGTAAAGAAATATTAGCCAATATTAGACAACTCACCCAAACCAGTCGAGGCAGGACTTGCTTCCTGTTTGAGGCTTTTATTTTGGTTAGTTTCCCGTTTTCTGTCATCTCACCTGCCCCGGCTTTACTCCGATCTACAATCACCACTGGTGTTCACCTGTCCCTCGTTTTCCTCTGGTCTCTTGTGTATTTCCTTTTTCCCTCAGTCTGGTTGCTAGCTCATCTGTTCTTTCCTCGTTGCCCCATCATCCGTCTCTCTGCGTACCACAACCTGTCTGTCTGTTTTGTCCACTTTGTAGGTTTTTGTATCAGCTGCCTTGGTTACTTTTGGACTATTCTTTTGAGTTATTCCTGTCAGCAGGATTCTTGATTAGTGCTCTGGGTTTGTTCTAGTTGTTTAGAATTTGTTTCATGTAGCTCCCTGACTGTTCTGTTTAGAAATGAGTTTTGTACCGTATTGTGAAGTCCTGTCAGGTTGAACATATGTTTGCCCCTTTGTTCCTCTTCTTTTATGTTGAACTGAATAAACACTAGACTCTAGACTGTGTCTGTATTTTGGGTCCTTCCCTGCCCGAAAACTAACAAATTTATATTCTGAAACTTCCACCCCTTA